CCTGCTCCTTGCAGATACTTCAGCTCGGAGGTATCACAGGTACAGTGGGATGCAGGGCCCCTGCTACAGGAGGATGCTGAATAAGGAGATAACCCCTCCGATTTAGACCACAACTCTGCATGCAGCTGTGTGAGGCCAAAGTACCCCAGACGTGAGCCCCTCTGGTCAGGCTGCCCCACTGGGCTTTATTAGCCTGTGATAAACCATGACACTGCTTGGCACAGTGATAAATATCTTTGAGACTACTACTACCGGGACGTGCACTTTCTACCAAGCAGTTAAGAGTGAGCAGGATTAGAAAACGCAGCCCAGCACTTTGCTCTCCACTAATGTAATCTGAACACCCAACCTACATAATGAACTAATGTGCATGTCTCATTTCTTAAGCTTCCAACATTTTTTCACGCAACCTTCCAACATAAAAACATCATATACATTATATTATATATTATAGTATAGTATAGTAGTAGTATACATTAGTATACATTATATTATATGCCCATATTGCATACTACTGAGCTACTGAAAGAAAGAACTAAAACTTCAAAAAAATCTAGAGAGAAGCCCCTAGACACAAGCAGGAGCCAGCCCAGGGACATGGCATTTTCTCAGCTTGGCCCCAACAATCCCACTCCCCAATTCAGCCTCCTGGGTCCTGTCTCTGGTTTCCACGGGCAGAGCCGGGGCTGCACACTGCACCTGTAGATGCTCCCCAGAAGCACCACACTCTGGCTTTGCAGAGTGCAAAGAGTTCATTTATGCCTCGGGTTGTTTTTATCAGTTTTATCTTTGCTCTACCATCTTGTCTACCCCCAAAGGCTATTAATGGTACAACATGGAGAAAGGCCAAGGAGTGCTTATCCTCTGGTGTGAATTCACAGCAGCTTCTCTCCGTTTCCCTCCGACATCCCGACTTAAGCTCTCCCCCTCGCTCCTAGGCTCGCGCTAATCCTCTCGCTTCACACCCATTCTGCTCCAATCTTGACGTGTCTGCCTGGGCGCAGGGACCTGGGTGTGAGACGCTGCCACCTCCTCTACTGCTCCTGCACGCCAGGCTCTGCACAAGGGGAGCACCAGAAGCTTTGTCTAAATTTTAAGTGATGCTCCTTTGCTTAACCCCTATGGAACAGGTGCTTTGTTTTGGAAACAGGTGAGGTTGGGGGTAAGGTGGTGAAAGAAGGCACAAGGAAAATAAAACAAATGCAATCGCTTTTTGTCTCAAAAATCATCCTTTTAACTCAACAAGCATCTCATCTGATGAAACACAATGAGCATGAAGTATTATATAAAGATGATTATACGGGGATTTAATGCTCGGCAGGCTAATACCGCAAGGGTAACCGCAGTGGTAACGCACTCACTTAACCAGCCTTGTGCCCGTGTCTGCAGCTACGCGGGCAGCGCCACTGGGGCCAGGCGGAATCAGAAACAAGATCTGTTTTAAGGGGGGAAAAAAAAAAAAAAAACCACAGCCCCCTTCCCACCAAGGATGGCAGCTCCAGTCCCACCTCCTTCCAGTCCTGCTCCATCCCTGATTAATGATGTTGTCTGCCTGATTTATGACCCACCCCAACAGATTAGAGTTTCCCTCCTCAACCTCCCCTCCCTCCAGCCCAGCTCGGAAGGCACAGCCACACTCCGCTGGAAATATTAGAGAATTATTAAATAAACATTCATACGTCATGTCTCTTCCCATACTGAGCTCATCGCAGTCACCACTCGGCGGCCGGGCCCTGTTTGCTTTCAGGCTGACACGGAGCAGCTGGAGTGATTCATGGAGAGGCTGGCTACAATGTTTCGTGTCATATATCATGCTAGCAGCGCTCCCTGCCCCGGCGGAGATAAACTGATCAACCACAACGGGCTGGAATGAATTTATGACAACACAAAATTGAGGAAAACAAATGGGAGGTGACCCAGTGGGCCACTAACCCAGACTCTCTCGCTGGCCTGCAATCTCGTTTGGTGGCAGGAAGCAAAATTGAACATTGGCACTCTGAATTAAGATGCTGGCTTTTAACCCCGGCGAGCCTGGGCTTCCAAATGGCACCGGTGTGTGGGAGGCAGGGAGGTGTCCGCGGGAAGGCGCGCGGGTGGCTCCGGCTGCTCTCCGTGCGGAGCGGCGCTCGCTCCGCGGCTCCTGCAGGAGCTGGGAGCAGGTGTGAGTGTATAGAGAGTGGCCCRACTCCCCGAGGATGCTGCAAGGCTGCTCCAGAGCCCATCCGGGAAGCCGGAGCTCTGCCCGTCTGCAGAAGAGCTCGGCCACCACCACCCAGGAGACACCCTCTCTCTCCCGGGAAAGAGAGCCGGGACCAAACCCAATCCCTCATTGCCTGCGGCTGCTACCTGGACATCACTCATAACACAGATGACCTGCGATATCACGGACCTGCTGTGGCACGAAGAGCAAGGGAACTGGCACAGACATCCCCCAAATCCTGTCCAGTCATTCCGCACAGAGGAGCCTCTTCCAGGAAAAGCCGAGCCCGGACTCCGTTAACTTGCAAGCAAAGAACTTGGGCTGCATGCCAAAACAAGAACCCTTTGACATACTATATTAAAATAATAATAATAATAAATAAAAATTGTTAAACACACCCATCTCCTTGCCTAGACTTATTTTTGGAAGAGAGGAGGGGGGAAGGAATGTCATTCTTCTGGAAGCAGGATCGATACACGGAATCRCTGCTAACTCTATTACCCCTTGTTCTAAATGGAGAGCACGGCTGACACAGGTGGTAAGCCATGTGCTTCTGAGCACTTTTAAAAATGCTAATCAGATGCAACACAGGGTTTAACATGCCAATCAATAACGTTCAGATTTAAAAGCAAAAATTAAAGCTACAAACAATAAAGTGATGCTGCCAAAAACTTCCTGCAAGCATCACCCCAAACAAGAAAAATGAAACCAATTTAGCTCCAGATTAAGAAACAGGAACTGGAGATGAATCAATTTAGCCTGTTGGGCTGGGTCACCATATATCATGGCTCAGCAGTGGAGAGGGAAGCAGCCAGACAGTATGAAACCCTTCTCCCCCCACCCCTTTTCTGTAAGATCCTAGCTCTGATCCCTGTTATCAATTAATTTAACAGAACCTGTCTACACAGACAAGCACACAGAGCATTCAGACTCCTTCAGTGGCAGGACAGAAACTATTTATCACACACKTATCTCAAAGGAAAGATGGGGGGGAGACAAGGCAGCTTGGAATCCTCCACCTGAAACACCATCTCGCCTTCTGAAYGTCAGGGAAATCAAGACCCTTAAATAAAAAGCTCTCCCTGCTACTTTCAAAATCAACACTCCTGGAAAGACTCAGCAAGACGCTAAGGCTTTCCCTGTAATTTCTATTGGGTTTTGCTGACCTCTGGCACCTTTTGCAGAACTGAAGCTTTAGCAGGATGAGGTTATTGCGGAGCAAGGAGCGCGCATGCCGGCACCTGCGCCCGCGTTCCCTCCGCTTCGCAGTGGAGTTAGCAYGAGCCTTGTTTGGAAAGCATTCTGGGATCCTTCAAAAGGTGCTAGCTAAAGCCTCTTTGATCAGATTATTAAAGCTACGTCAATTTTACCACTTGAGCTCAAGTGTTCTGGAAAATGTCAAATCCTTTCAGCTCCCGTAGTTTAAAGATTTTCAATAGGAGTGGATCTGGGAGGGTGGAAGGCTGCTGGGCTGACAGGCAGGAGGCTCGAAGGGAAGCCAGGCAGTGCCTGAGAGAGGCTGGCAGATCAGGGCAGAAGGGATAAAACGTGTGCCCTTGAGTCCCTCTGCCACCAAGACAACGTGCTGGCTCACCCTAAGGACAACCCTTCTGCGCTGAGCTGCCAGCTCCCAAACTCACTCGTCTTTGGCCAGGCTCTGCCCACTGAGAAGCAGCAAACAGCAGGAAACCTGTGTCTGGGATATGTCAAGGAAGGCTCGGCAGAAAGAAAGTGCCAGGACCACGAGGCAGCACTAATGGTTCCCACGTGGCAGGGAGTTTCCTCTGTTACCATCTGAAAATAAACATAGCTTTGCGAGGCTTCCCAGGCTGTTGGATACCCCAAAACGCTCAAGGGATGCAATACCCGGAGTCAGGATGAGAACAAACTATATTACAACTGGTTTACACAAAGTTAGTCATTAATTTCTACACCAGATTTTCCCCATTCCCAGTTGACAGTGGGCTCACCCCCAAAATATAAACACTATCTCTACTTAAATCCCATGCTGTTTCTTTGCTTGTATCTCATTTGAACTGTTTTGCTTCTTGCTTATTGCATAGGCAACATTTATTTCAGGCAATAATCATCTCTCTCTCTCTCTCTCAAAAAAAAATGTGGTCTACAGTAAGCCTAAGAGTCTGTAGTTTTCAGTTTGGATTGGCAGAAGGGCCTAGCAGCTTATGGGAGAAGGCTGTTATATAGTACAGAAAACAACAGTTGTTTCTATCCTACACTGGCTTGCAGGATATCCAGCTAGCAAAAAGGGAAAGGTAAAGATATAACCAGGAGCATTTGTGCTATCCTATCATCAAACATCAGGACTCAAATTCCTAAATCATTCACTGAACAGCTGCAGCTACAACACAGTCAGTACTGTAGGAGACATTTCTGTTAGTAACCATACAAAGAGGTCATTTGGACTCAAAAGAAAGACAAATTCCCTCAGTGAGCCCCCTGGCAAGTTACGGGACTGCCAGAATCCCCCCTGGTTGCAGAAATGAAGGCTGGAACATGCAGCCTTCATGGAACATACAAGGGAAAAACAGAATAGAGGTAATGTGGGAAACTGCTCTCCAGAGCCAAGGCACACTGATGAAGTCACTTCTCCAGTAAAAAGACAATCTCATGGATACATTTACAGCTTATGTTCTGCAGGAAGAATGAAGAATTGCAAGCACAGCTCTACAAGTCATTTTTTTTTCTCCTCAGGATAACCTCAGAACAGCACTGCTTCTTGGAGCTCCAGATAGGCCACTAAGATCCCTAAAATAAGAAAAGCTATCCAATTCACACTCACTTTTCAATGTCACTGTTCTTACAGGTCTTCTGCATGGTCTCCTGTTTACTGCTCTCACCATTACTCGTTGAGGGCATTTCTGTTGAGGGGAGAACAATAAAATCAGTAAAAGAACATTGAGCATTTAGATTATATAGTCTGAGCAAGTTACAGGTCTGTAAGCAGAGAACTCTGGTGAGTCAGGGTCCTTTATGTCAGAAAGAATGAGAAGAGACTGACAGAATGTGTCCCTGCTTGGCAGAAACCCTTCTCTCTGGACAGGACACTTCTATGACTCAGGGCTGAAGATGCAATCCCCAACATCTCCTTACTTCAGACTGACTGAAGATCGTAGATTTGCCAGTTAAGCTAGGATTTAACTCAGAAAGGTTTGATGCAGCTGCCATGACAGGATGTATTTCTGGAAAGGTGAACCTGGAGCAAATCCATCAGCCAACAGCCTGCTCTTGGCTGTCCTCTTTTTCTGAGATCCCTCAGACACAGGCAGGGAGAAACATGCATGCAGTACCGATAGGAACAGTCTGCTCAGAGCTTTTGTCTCCATCAGCATTCCCATAACTCTCCCCAGTGCTGGAGGGGATGCGAGCCTGCAGGAAAGGTGACAGGAAGAAATGAGCCAGATGAACTGGCCTGCAGGTCAGCCCCTGGGCTATAGGTTCAGCGCTGCCGCTTTAGGTAACAGACACAAAGCGAAGGCAGGCTTACAGGAGGTGCCATGAGGGCTGCTGCTTCATCACCTCTGTGACTGTAGCTACTGAGGCAGAACACACCTACGAGCGAGGGATTCTACATCACAGGCAATAAACGTGATCGCCTGCCCCATAGAAAAAAACGGCTGTGATAGACATCTTATGCTCTTCATTTAATGATCATGCCCCTGGCAAAACTGCTCCTACCCCGTGTCCCTCCCCCGCTTCTCACTGGCAAGCAGTTATGTTTCATAGGTACTTCCAAGGCTGGAAATCAAATGCCGAAAGCATTACAGTAACAGAACAGGGAGCAGAATCATTGGGACAAGGCTCTTCAGGTCGCTGAGCTTCACTTCCCTTCCTAGGGGAGCTGGAAGTGCACTGCCCAGCTCTGGAAATAGATTTGGCATCTACAGCTGGCAAGTGCCAKTTTTTATTATTCTCATATTTCCACAGCGTTGCTGCTTACACTTCCAGTGCTACTGGCATTAAATAAAACAAAGCAGCACTTACATCAGTTTAAAAAATACCAGTGATTTCTATGCGCTTTCAAATAAGGTAAGTGAAGGTGTAAATTCACACCTACTCACTAGCTCTGTCATCTCCACTATGGATCTCTAGTGGGATTGATCCCAGAGTTCTGTCCTAAACGTGCAGGCTTTAGAGCTATAGGCTTCTCAACATACAGATGGTAGTAAGGACAAGACCTATATATCAGATTGTGGCAAGCCTCTACAACTTCCTGTTAAAGAAGGGATGATTTTAAGAAAATGCCTGGAAAAAAAAACAACTGGTGCCTACGTATTTCCAACTCCCAGCAGCTGARTAGTTCCACTGAGCTCTGTGGAACAGCAGTTTGTCTTACAGTGACAAGGCAGCAGGTCAATGCAATCCCTACCTCTTATTGTTGCACCWGGTACTGCTCAGAGGCATTTTCAGTGTGTCTGGCTACAGCTCAGAGAGCTCCTCTCCAGAGATGAGCTGCACTGYTACCCTAATTCCCAGCTGGAGCACAAACAGGCTGGGCCAAGTAGTCATCAGCACTTTTTGAATGAAGATTATTACACAGGTAATGCTATTCACAAAACATATGTAAGTTCTTGGGCCAAATACTGGACTGCAAGCCAGGTGACCAGAGGGTTCATCTTGACACTAGCTTTGTATGCATCTTAAATCCTATCTCACTGTGTCTATCTAATAAGAGAGGATTAGGTATTTGCATCAAGGTGTGCAGAATTCTGTYGGATTTCTGGGATGTCTCCCAGATTCTACTGCATTCGGTTGGCTGCACTGTAAAGGTTCTGTAAAAGGATATTGGGATGTACAAGTCTGTAAATATACATTTGCGGGTGCTGCGCAAGCACATTTGCAACTACCATTTTCAACCACTGTATGGGCAGTCAGAAGATACGGAATGTCTCCCTGCCATCCTGTGGCACAGGATGAATAATTCACACGTGTAACACTCACCGTCACTGGCCCATTTCGAAAACTCCGGCGTTATTCGAGTACTAGGTGTGCCACCACTAAAAGAGAAAAGAGCAGAATGCTAAAAGTTTGATATGGAAAACTTTGCTGCTTGAACGAAGTCTACACACCACATCTTTCTCAATACCTCTGTCCCTCAGTCAAGGTACCAAATGTGAGCAACTGGTTGACTGCAGAAGGTGTTTCTGTGCTGTGTCCACCAATGTACTTGCAACCTACTATTCTAGCTGTGACCCCTGCTAAATTCTGAGGGATGTCATGCTGCATGAAGGCTTGGGATTCAAATGGTGCCTGTCTGTGACTTACGGCTCATTTGAAAGCCCGATTTCAAAAATGAAAACCTTACTGGTGAACAGAATGTCTTGTTTCACAGAATGTCTTGTTTTCTTTTACTGCTTCCCATTGAAGAACAGCACTGAAGTGCAGAGAACTTAAGGTCCTGTCCATTCACTTACAAGTCTGTWATGGAGCTGGGAAAATAAACTTCTGAACAAACTGGGTACTTGTGAATATGAAACACTTTAGCTCTGAGATCTAAGAGTTACACTCACATGATAATCCAGGCTCRTGCTTCAGGCTGTCAGCTAAACCTACTGTTTTTTTAATAGAAGCTTGACAGAATTTCAAATACTTTACAAACAACAACACAACTCCTGTTTTAGAGACGGGCAAATGAGTTCAAGCTACATGCAAGGATTTTGTCCAGACAGCAAAACATTTTAGTGTGAGTTATATAAAAGSACCAGGTCTCCCAGCCTCCAGTCCTCAGTCATCTCACTAGTGTCCATTGCCACTAACAAGGGATGACTGGACATCCTCCTGCTATAGTCCTGTTTTCCTGAATGTGAAGCAGCTTCAGCATTTTTGAGACCCTGCCTGTGGACTAGCAATATTAGCAAAGTATCTAATGGATCTGTGGTTCGGATCCAGTGCGGCAAATCTCATATTTCTGTGGAGTGGCACTTAACTTTGAGCTAGTGTTTGTGACAGGCTAAGTAGTAAGAAAACTTTATTTCACTGCTCTATCAATCACTTCAACCTTGACCTCACAGGATCACTCAATCCAAGAGACAGGGAGGTAATTTGAATCCTGTTTTATGCAGGGCAGAGGGTTCGGAACGCAATCCTACCTCTCTGTAAAGACTCCCTTTATTTGCCTGAAATGCCTCGCCAACTGCCCTGAGCATGACTGCCTGCATTCTGCATTTAGGTATGTGGGCAGCACACACATCTTGCCCAGCTCCAGCTCTGCCTGTGCCCTGGAGCTGAGTACACAGGGATTCATTTGTCCCTCAGAACGTAATGGGATGTGGTCAAGTCACACCAAGGAGCCAGACTCTTAAAAGACTGAACAAGATTCAGATGGCATCACGTTATATGTGCTTTTATTAAGAGGCCACACTTCATCTGGGGACAGTTTCTCCTTGGCCAGAATACAGCTTCTGTCCAGCACTGCTCTGGGAGAAGAGTGCTGGCTGGCCACCAGAGTGGTCACGGTGATGGAGAACGTGCAGGGACACTTTTACAAAGAGGCTGCACAAGCAGAAATTCAGTCCTGTTACACACTGCTTCTTGGTAAGTCTTCCTTGTTGTCACTCTTGTAGTTAAAAATGAGCAGACATTTTTCACAAATTCAGATCCTCCAAGTATAATGAAAGCAAATCAGAAAGGCAGAGCACTTACTTTAAAACAGCACCGCGGAGCGCCTCCCTCTCTTTGGCTTCACCTGGCTCTTCCCCAGTGCAAGGGATAACGTCTGCCTCAGTGTACCTGAGACAAGGGTTAAGGAACACACAGCCTTGCAGCAGACGGTGGGCAGGCACTCTGCTTCTCATGTGCRTGGGACCCGAGCTGGCATACAGAGCAAATTCATTCCAACAGGGAACACCACAAAAGAAGAGAGGCTGGTATGCAGAGGGACACATCTCTAAATACTGAACAAAATTTTGTTCTAGATTAAAGGATATAGACAGGCATAGCTCTTAGAAGCAGAGAGAATTCTGCAGCCTCTGCAAGGGGTACTCACACAAGCCCGCTATTTCTGAGCTACACACACCTTTTACCAGAGAATGATTGGGTCTTCGCCCTGAAAACAGGGTACAAATTTCAATAAAATTCCATTCAAGAGCTATACATTCTTCCACATCACAGCTAAGGAATCTATGTCTGCCTAATACCATTATAGGATTCCTTCCTTGTTGGCTGCACAGCTGCTATGGGGCAGAGAAAGTTTGTCACAGCTCTCCTAGAGCTCTGTCCAAATGGTCTGGCACTTGGATGAGGAATTCCAGTAAAGTGCCTTTTATGATGGTTCTGCCCATGCTCTGACCAATGAAAGGAACAAAAATGCAGGCTCACAGTAACAGTGACGGATGAACAGTGCTTGAAACTCTGCAAAAAAAGCTCTGAAAATAAAAGAGTCAGAAAACAGCATGGCTTGCAGAATAGAGACTAAATTCTTACCAGTGAAGCAGAAAATAATAAAAAAAAWAAAACTATGTGAAGGAAATAAGGGATGGAGACATCACTGGTAATGAGGATAGCTTATGAATTACTCAGTAGAGAAACACTGTAACTTCATCTCATGCAGCAACTCCCACACCTTTCGCCACCTGAGTCTGAAGATGCATTGTGTGAGCAGGAGGATCTCAAAGGGAGCAGCCGAGAACCCCTCCTAGTTCCTATAACAGGGTGACGGTGGAAGGTGCTGCCRTTTGCAGCAGGGCTGGGTACAGAGCAGCCAACATTACCCCGTGCTGTACCAGGGCTAGCTGAAGCACGAGATGCTCCTCTAAGTTCCCTCTCAGCAAGAGCCTTTCAAAAACGATACTGTGGTTTCCCATATTCCAGTGTGTCGTCCCCATCCACATCCAGGTCAGCGTCACTGTCTGGATTCTCCTTGCCGCTGCACATGATAAACCCAGAACCTGGAAGAGATTAAAACATGTAGAGAAGTTATTAAATCGGAGTCTCTACGGGAAGGAGATCTTCTGAGGACAACGKGCAGCACAGGTCTGCAGGCTGCCCTTTACTCGTAACAGACTAATGAAAGATATTGCTCCAAAGATGGCAAAAGGATCGGTTTCTAAAGACCGGACAGCAAATGCTCACAGAAATGCTCCACCTTCCTAGATTTTGTGTTCTCAAATGCCCCATAACACTGAAAAYGAAACCTTCTTGTCCTCTTCCTGTCCATACAAATTATAGGAAAGCAGAAGCATCTCAGAGACAGAAAACAGTAAAGTAAAACAGAGAAGACAATTATGATTTTTCATAGAAATGAGTAACACAAACCCCCCCAACTACTGGCACTAAGAAAAGGTCACAGGAATATGCTGAATTAGTCCTATAAGCAGAGTGCAAGTGCAAACTGAATACAATTAATGATGATCCTTTTAAAATGCTTAAGAATGTTGGTTCTCAGAAATCATCAGTATCCACAGTTAAGTGCCACAAACATTTCTCATTGGAGCAAACTGCAGTGCAAGTCTGCAAGAGTCCTGTTAGAGTGTCTTATCACTTGTAAGCCAGATACAAACCCAGTTCTAACTCCAGCAGGAAGCAGGAGCACACAGTTCCACTCAGGACTAACTGATGTGACAGTCAACACTTTCTAGCAATACATGCATTTATTTTGGTTCTCAAGCATTTTGTTAACTGTTTCATTGCTAATTATAACCAGGTCTACTTTACCCCAGTCTGYGTACAAATAGCTAGCAAGATGAACCTCCACTTGTCACATACTGCCTAATGTTTATTAAGAGAAAAGAAACTAAGTAAACATACGTTTATTCTTTATGTGACTTGGCATGGGACACACTTTCTTGGTGAGGTTAGAAACGAATCTAGATCTCCAGGGTCTCAGGATGATGCAAGGTCCCCACTTGCATTCAGTTTTGCAGCACATTAAGCTGCCTGGGGATACCCTCTGTGTGCATATCAACTTGCTCACTCTGGGGGCCTCCACTAGGCCTCTTTGCTCAGCACCCCATTGCCCAGGGGATGCGGATTACCTGCCTCTCACCAGAGATCATCTGTTGGAACATAAAAGACCCAGTCCATCCAGACAGCTGGTGACCTAAGTGTGTGCCAGGCAGACCCATGAGCAGACCCTACCTGCAACCACACAGAGTAAGGTAGAGATAGGCTCAGCTTTGCACAAATGCCTCAGAGGTGGTAGATTTCTGCACTGTGAACCCAGTCCTAAATGCAGGATACAGGCTAACATAATGCAAGGACACCGGATAAGAGGTATATCCAAAAACAGAGGATATTCCCTGGCTTTAGGCTTATTCTGCTCAGCCTACTGGCCTCTCACCAACATGTCCATGGGCTTGTGCTGTGAAAAGCAGACTTGTGCTTTTCCAGCACAAAAGTGAGCTGTATTTCTAGCAGTCTGCATCTGTGCTGAGAGCAGGGCAGGCTGAAGGTCTCTTCTCCAAGGACAATAGAGGGAAACAGCTCTTTACTGCCACTCTCTAGGAACRGAGGCGCTCCCTGATTCATTAAGTCCCCAATAAAATTTGTTTATATGGATCTGATATTTCTCTTCTCTGAATACAAAGAAGATCCTTAACGAGCRATAACCGCAGCATGACAATGATTTTAAGGCTAACCTTTCCCTAGAAGCATAAACTACCTTTTACTTCGATGTAACTGCCAGCCTTAATTCCTACTGGAGCTAACAAAACTAGCACTGACAATGCAGCATCTACCTTCCGCTTCAGGTAGAACAGGAGTCATACTCATAGGTCAACTCAGCAGTATCTTCAGGGCAACCTTCCTCTATCAGACCCCATATAAAGTGTTTCATGTACTGGCTGCATGCTGCCAGCCAACATATGTCACGAGCTGCCTTCTCTTGCTGCAATGCCTTATCTAGTAAATCTTGAACCCTTCAGTTCATCACAATGTTTGGGAGAAGATTTAGAGTACTAAGAGAGACCTGTCAGAGAAGCTGGGTAGTCTTTCAAAGCTGCTTGAGAAGTCACAGTGGGCAATGGAGCAGTAATTTACAGGCATGGCGTTTAACCTGCAGTAACACCATCCTCTGAACCTGGCATTACTTTAGCCCATCACTTCTCAAAGGCCATAAACTTTGGACACCCGGGTCTTCATTTTTCTTTTGAAGATGTGGGAAACACAAATCATGCAAAGCTGGAGCTGTGCCTTGGCCGGTCCCATAGGTGATCTGAATGTGAGCCAGATAATGAATACTTGGAACAAGCGCCTGCAGGGAGCAAGGGGTCAAAAGAGTGAATGTAAATGGGATCACTCCCTGCGTCCCTCTGTCTGCAAGGATGCCAAGCACACAGAAAACATGCACCTTTCCATCAATTTTGTTTYTAAGACACTCAAGCCAACTAGTGGTTTATGGTCAGAGCTTAAGAACAGAAAATCTGCTTACTACGATACAATTCACAAATATCAAGGCACTTTGRCTTCAGAATCCTCACGTCCTTGCTCTCAAGATCGTTGTACTTAAGAAAATCCCCTTTAAATCTATAACGATAATACTACTGCAGCCCTTTTGCAGAACTTAACTCAGCAGTAGGAATGACTGCACTCCAAAAACAGCATCATCTCTAATACAGAGGAACAGTTTGGACAGTCAGTATATGTTATCATGTCAGATAYACACTAGAATGACCTGATACAGTAGCTTTCCAAACAGAGAGGAGGGAATATGGAATTTATCACAGAATCACAGAATCTTTAAGGTTGGAATAGGCTGAGATATGCTGCAGGAGAAGGGCAAATTCCTAATCAAACAGGTGGACCCCTAGAGCACAAATATGTCCCCAATGTGAATCAAAGATTCATAAATCGCCGTAGTTGCTGGCTTAAAGAGAACATGGAARAATAGGACACCAAGCTCAGACAAGAGCCAGTCTGTAGAATGAGGCCTGTCTGCCACGGCCACCTCTAACACTGCTTCATCTGGAGCAGGGATGGGGTTTAAGGCCAGTTCTGATGGGCTGGGGTTTGGTGCCACAGTTTCAACCTGACTCTCCTTGCCCTGGTGCTGCTTCCCTGCACAAAGCCAGTGAAAACACCCATGCAGCTGTTCAAATATTTGACATCTGAACTGCTTGACATTATTCATTCATCTCAGGCTCATTCAAACCAGATTTCTGGACAAGTGCTCTTATAAATGGATTAAGAGGGCCACTAAATGCAAGGAAGGCCTGACAGGATCACACCTGCTTCTCACTAACTTAGCCCAAGTGCAAAGAGGGCTCCGAACTTCCACCTCCTGCCTATGGCATATGCTGCCATCCAGAAGCAAAGTGTAAAATGCAGCATAGAAGGTGCTGTATGGATAAAAGGTGTCTCACAGTGGCACCACTGTTTCAGAACTGTTAGAGGAGAATGGGAGTCTCCAGAAGATGCTGCTACGACTCCCAAGTGATCTGCAATTCAGTCGAGTGCTCTGGGAGCAGCAGACAGGTTTCTCTGGCAGGTTCAGCACTCTGAAGGCCACGCAGTAATTCACTGTCAGCAGCGGTGCTGCCCAGAGCAGACCACTAAAACCAATGCCGCTCTCCAGAGGTCAACACTCGGGTCTAGAACTTTATCCCAACGCGTTAATAAAGTCAGACCCAACAACTGAATGTTAAGTTGAAAGTTCGACCTGGGAATTCACCAGAGACATGATCCTGAAGCTGTGATTCACAGATGCAGCGGCAAATCTTACAAGGAGAGTCACCTAAGGCCTAAAGAGCATAATTCCACATCTGTATTTGAAAATGCCACTTTCAGATTAAACTTTGAGAAAATGCACACTCTCCCATACCTCTCTCTTTGCTTGCTGAAGCATTTTTCATTTCGTTCCTATTGTGCATTTGGTTGGAGGCAACTGCAACCGTCACATGTTGCCAGTCCCAATAAAATTAGCCCTCCCAACACTAAAGCAGCACAATTCTCTGACAGTCTTAATCCCAGCTGCCTCCTTCAGGTCTGGGCAAACAGGAGTGAGCAGGCAGGTCAGGCGCAGGGGCCATTAAGCAGAGAAAAAACAAAGTTACAGCTCTGTCTCCAATCCCCATTGCTCTTGCAGCCAGGTGCTCTGACAAGCAATTCCAGCACTGGTATTGAGTGGCACCTCTATAAACCCTGTGACAGTTTGGGAGACAAACTCCCCCATCAATCAGAATGTACCTATCAAGATCACTTACCTAGAGCGCCCGCGACCCTCCAGTGCTGTGTACACAGCTCTGCTGGGGCTGGCCTCGGAGCAGGCTGCCTGGGCACCAATTCAAGTTAGTTCCTGGATATTTTGGTACTCTACACAAGCAACAGTTCTGAAATATGGATGCAGGGGTTTGAAAAAGGAAAAGGGCAAAAAAATGCCTCTCAGCTACCACCAGGCTGCACTGACAGGTTACAAGAATCAGCTGAGCTTGAAGGAGACTGGATAACACTTCCCATTTTCTTCCATGTAGAGATTAATAATGGCTGGAGATAAATCTCATCAGAAATCCTTTTCTTCCCCTTTGTGCAAGTTCTCACAGCACTTTGCTTTCTCCTAAGCTGTCCCCTATGYCTAAGCACCCTCTCTGACCTCTGTACTGCTTCTCAAATCTCACTTCCTTGTGCAATCCCCCAGATGACAGGTCATCTCCACATATCTTAAGTGAATGGCAGCTCAAGCAAAGATCTGGAGTCATTAACATGATATATAAGCAGATTCACAGAACAGATAAAAGGGCCTCACATTCAAGTCCCTCCCTTTCTCCATCACGCTCGGTGGCAGATGGTCAAAGCGACAACATGTGCAGCTTCAGGTGTTGGCAGCGCTGTTAGCTCTTGCACAGACAGGAGCTCACGTGGAGATCATAGAATGCTTMAGGTTGGAAGGGCCCTCCGGAGGTCATCTAGTCCAATCCCCCTGGCTCTAAACTGGGGTTATTTCATCAGCTGCTAA